TGCTTCAACCTGCAAACTTCACACTCGTGGACCGTGACTCCTTTACTGGAAATCAACTCCAGTCAATCAAACTGTACAAGAAATTGTTGATGAAATGTTGCTCTGGAACGAAGCTGAAGAAGTAAACAAATTAAAATGTGGAAGAAATGAGAGGGGAGCAAACTAAGAAAGTTGATATAGAAGGTGTAATTAGGCTCAATGAGTTGGTAGTTGATACCAGAATCTTTGGTGATCTGCCTACTTTGACGGATAGGGATACCACATTGATGCATACTTGCTTATAGAATTCCCTAATTTTCTAACCTCTGCGAATGAACATCATGATTGTTATTTGGAGGTTCTTTTATGAAAGAAGCATTTGAGCTGGCTTATGCTAATATCCAAAAGTTTTTTGTTGTTTAAATGTGAAATCCAATATGTCATATTAGCTACTATCCCTAAATATATAATTAGAAAATTTATTTTGAAGAATTTGGAAGAATCGTCAAGTTCTTTAGCAAATTATAAATCATAATCCTGATAATGTAATTAATTTAATACTACATATTTGTTTTTTCTTAAGTAGAGCATGCTAATTTTTTCATACATAAAAAAGTTTAGTGCATACTTAGAGCCCGTTTGGTAGCACGAAAATTGGCTGATTTGACTGATTATGCTGAAATGTATGAAGTTCTGGCTGAAGTGGCTACATTGGTTGATTCTGCTGATAGTAACTTCAGCTAATATTGTCAGAAAAGTAACTTCAACCTTACTTTTTCTGCTCATTACACAACGCAGCGCGCGAAAGCAAAATTTTCGTGTTTGGTGAAAAAGTTGGCCGGTAAGCATGATAAGCCGAAAAACACTGTTGTCAAACGACCTCATATATGAGTGTACTTTATTTTCAACATTTTTGGTGGATTTTTTGTTATTCATTTTAACAATAGATCCTTTTAGAATTGGTAGACTTAATCAATTTATCAATTACTACACGCTTGCTCTCATACAATTGTGTTTAATAATCAACTCTATTGTTTTACTTATGAATGTACATGTTCATACCCCGACACATAGAATCTCTTAGGTAAACATTACCATGTATAATACGGAGTAATACTTTTAAAATAAGTGAGATGTTCATTATACTCGGTACATTGTTAAACTTATTATACGGAGTATAACACTTCATAGAGCAAATATACATCAAACGTTCCATCATAACCAACACATTTAAGTTGACTGTAATAGTGTTGTCTACTAAATCACATTTAACAAAAAAAAAACAAAAAAAAAAACAAATGTTGTGAATTTTATTTCGCCACAACAGACACAACCATGACAGTAACGTATTCTGTTTTCCTGAGATACAACATGACATCAACTCCCTTTAATCGCCAATTGTGACTTAATTTGTCTCTTATTTTAAGTGGCTTGGTAACCTTGGTTTCTAATACTAATTTACTACTGCCAATTGGATATGCAGAGTGCCTGCTGCATAAGTCCATATATGTTGCTGTATATGCCCTCAATATATGAGGATCTGGTCACAATTTTGATGATCCACATGTTCAACTGTAAACAACAAAAGACATGGAAGAAATTAAAAATTGGGGGTAGCGAGTGTTGTTCATTTCCAATTGTTTCCAACAAATAGAACACATTATAATTAACAAAATACTCTGTATTATCTTGCGTCAACATAAACAAAGTATAACAGCGTCTAAGCTTACAAAAGTGGATATTAAAAGCTTCAGTACTAAATACTAATAATCACTGAAAGACAGTCTATGACATCAGATAAAGTGAGATATTTCAACATAGATGGACAACTATCTAACTGCACTAGCAGAAAATAAAAATAGAGTTCAGGAACTATAGATAATAACTTAGTACTACATCACAAAAGTAAAATCTTACTTTTATGGTTCCCAGAAACAAAATAACCAGATAACATAAACAACTCTAACCTTTTCCACCAAAAGCCCCGCCATTATGTCATTTAGAATGTGTGACTAGCAGTACAATGTATCAGGTTCTCAAAGGTCAAAATAGAAAAAAAAATGATTTTAGCATGACTTCTTATTAACAAAAAGGATGTTTTTCCCTAAAACATTATTCAAAACAACACCTAACATTTGTTTGATCATACAAAAAAAAAGGTAATGTTATTAAGGAATCTTACATTGTAGCCAAACTTACCATTTTAACTCCCATATTAAGTTGGTTGGCTTACCCAAACTATTCTGCATTCCATTAATCCATTGATTGGAAAAATATTATTTAAATAGCTAGGTTAACATTAACTTTTAAAGCTTTCCACGATTAGACAAAAGGCCCAAAACAAAATTCAAATAAACCTTAAAAGATTGGGGCGCAGCTACTATGTGAGGAACCTACTATGTGAGGAACCTGGGCATAATGAGAGAATTGGCCATATTCAGAGTTCGGTGAGGAATTTGAGTGTAAGGATGAAATGGAGCATATCCAGCTAGGAAATGCCAACCGGTGTCACCTAGTGAGATTTGAAAGATACCCATATCATGAAGTTTATTTGCCAAATATGCAATGTTTGTAGGTGAAGCTGTTACTTCAACTGAGAACCCAATAACACATTATAGCGACCAAGACTCCTTGATGAAGAAAAGAAGAATGATCAGATCAGATTCCTTTTAATACGTAGGACTACTATAAGATAATAACAATATAAATCCATTAAATGGCAATAAACCAAATCACAATCTTAACGTAACTACGCATTAGGATGATCAAATTAAATCCACAGATAAGATCAACAAATAGTTCTATATATAGTTAATTGATTTTATATGATTAAACTTGAAATTGGAAAAGAAAGAGAAAATTTACAACAAACAATCGGAAGATTACCTCAATTCAAGTTTAATTTTTTACTTTACGTTTAGTAGACTGAGATGTCAGTCGGGTCTCTAAGCTCTTTTTGAAGGGAGATGCAAAGACTTGCGCGAAAAAGTCCCCTTCGCAAACGGACTCAGAACGATGAAAGTCATGAAACGAGTTGTGCCCTTGATTGGGTTTAATTGGGAGGGCTTCTGTGCAATTTTGCAAAGGAATTGGAGGGTTTAAAAATAAATTGTGACTAAGAATATTTAACCAATACAATTCGGCCACATGGCTGATGTACCCAAACAGTCCATAATGCGGATGCACCAGAAAATTTTCCTACGGAGTAATGTTTAATTACGGAATACGTATTCATAAACACTATTAAGGTTTAATATTTCAAAAGTTCACATTAAGATAAAATTAATGATATTTATAATAATAATTTGATATGATGGTATATATTATTAGAAAATTATAATCAAAATAAGAAATTCAAATAGTATAAAATTCAAAGTATTGTGAATTGTAACCAGTGTTCTAAAAGGCCTTATTAGGCGGCGCATAGGCGGGCCAATGCGCAAGGCGCACAGCAAACGCCCCGCACAGCCTTGTGGCATGCTAAAAGGCGTGTTAAGCCTTTAGAATCCGGAAAAAATAAACTTAATTAAGGCCTGTTGGGCCATATTTAGTCCACGTGCACAGCGTAGCAATGTAGCATTTACTTGGCAATTTGAATCATAGATGAATGACTTAATATATACGCAGTCAGGAGGAGGATTCGTCTCTTCCTTTCCGGTGTGGGAATACTAAACTAGTAGTAGAATTACGTTGCACCTATATGCTTGTTCACATTCCTTTTTTTTTAACTGTTGCTTGCTCACATTCTTTATTTATTAGTTTTGAGTTTAGATCTACTCCGTATTATATTGCTTATATTATACTCCATATAACTATAAACTTTAATTCAATCACTTCTTTTTTATTAATAATAGTTAACATTAATGTATAATCTCTACTGAAAAGTAATGGTGTATTATTGTTATAATATTGTTTTTACTCTTGTATATTGAAACAATATGCTTATAATTGCTATTAGTATTATCATTATCAATATCTATTTTACAATCTCTTATTTGTTGTATAGCTGATGCATATATTATGAGTCATTGATAGTTTTTCAAAATTGTATTGTCCGAAAATGTAAAAGTCTGATGCTTTTACGTGGTATATTTCACATTACATGTGTATATTTATTACTTTTTTCAGATCAAGTTTTTGTATAATTAGTGAATTTATACTATGTATTTGTTAGATTTAGGTCTCGATAAACACCTTTATGTCGAAAATGAGAACAATCTGATGTTTTTGAATAACATTATATATTTTTATATTTAAATATTTAAAAACATCTTTACGAATATTTAAATAAATGATAAAATATCAAAACGCCTTTTCATTCCTAAGTCCCGCCTAAGCCCGCCTAAGCTTCAAAGGCTTAGGGCTTGGGTGTGCCGCCTCGGCACGCCTTACGCCTTTTAGAACATTGATTGTAACTATTAAAAAACTTTCTTTTTTGGCAAAACTATTAAAAAATTTAGAAAGTATTGAGTGAAATATTTAAGTAATTGAAGGAAATATTGAAACGCTAAGAAAGAACATGTATTTAGAAAAGTAATTAAATGAGTAGAGGGAGAAATTAATTAAAAGATAGAAAAGAATATGTAGTTTGAGAATAGTAAAAATGTGCTTCATTTACGCTCAACTCATATACACTCAACCAGATCAGATCAAAATTATTTTTCAGAGAAAATCACATCAAAAATAAAAAATGAAAATAAAAAACATTCATAACAATATATGAAGAGAATGATTATTTCCCAAAATATGGTGTACTAGAGAAAGAAAGAAAAAAGATATGGATTACATTTTAGAAAATCATGTTCTCGGAATTCAAAACTTTTTTATTAAATACGTAAGTTTTACTTTCAAACGCTGAATTGTGTAATAAGTCGAAAATGTAAGGTTGAAGTTACTTTTCTGGCCGTATTGATAAAGTTACTATAGATGATCATTTTAGCTATTTTTACGTATAACATTTTCTTTATTTTACTAATAAAATATATTTTAAAAATATTTTTTCTAAAATTAACAGAATCAGCTGATGCAACCACTTCAGACAGAATTTCATAAATTTCAGCAGAAACAGTCGAAACAGTCGATTTTCGTGTTACCAAAGTAGCTCTCAAACTAGCTCTCAAACTAGCTCTTAATGCTAATTTTCTCTTCATTTATGAGAGAAAAGTCAGGAGTGAGACATTACCAAAAAGCAAACTGCACACATGGTTCAAAATGCGAACAAACCAGAAAGAAGATAAAAAGTGACAGACTGAAGTCTGAGACTGAAAATAGATGAAACCCTTCAATGCATTCAAGAGAAAAACGACAGACACTCATGGATAGAGTGCAACAAAACTAATTCTAAACACTCCGTAATCAAATCTAAATGCATAAATGTTAATGTCTAATGAACACTTGAACCAGGCCACAACTTCTCTTCTTCCCTTCTCTTCCTCAAACAGAACTGAAATTAAAGTGAATTAACTAGGAGCATTTGTGATTCTTGCTGGGTACAAATTGGAAGGGCCCAACAGTGAAAAGTGGATACGGCAGCGTTTTGTTCACAGAAGGTGGGTGGAAGTTCAAAGGCGCTCCAACATGGCCAAGATTCAAATTTGTGGTGACATTGCAGTGAGGATTGCCTGAAGAGACCAGGAAAACCTTGCACTTATGCCAACCAGCAGAGGTGACAATCTTAGGAGTTAAGAAGAAAGACCCATTCCTGTCTGTGTGAACACTCTCTTCCAAGTGATACTTTGTGTTGTTGCAGGCAATTTTCACCAAAGCCCCTGCACCACAAGAAAAAATGAATTTTCCCCAAAAAGATTGAATCTTTGAGGTTAATAACATAATCCCAGAATTTTAAATGAATGGTTAACTCACCCTCAATAGGATGGTAATATGGGGTGGAGATGTTGCAAGACTTGCAGCGTACAGATCCACAGATAGCGATGGATTTCTTTTGTGCTGATGGAGATGGCAACGGTGCCTTGACAGGTGGTAGGGGGTGGTGGAGGAGGTGTGGCTTGGGGGGCGCAGCAGTGGGGGGTTTTGCTGCAGGAGGTGATGATTTAGGAGTGGCCGGGTGTGGTGGTGGTGCGATGGCAGGATGGTGGTGGAGGTGGTGGTGACCACTAATGGGAGCAGGTGATGGGGAGTGGGAATGATGAGTGGCAGGTCTATTTGCAGGCGGTGTTGGGGATTTGGGTGGGGTGGCTGCCGTTGGTGGCGCGGCGGTTCCATGGTGGTGGTGGTGGTGGTGACCTTTGACATGAGTAGAGGCCGGAACTGGGGAGTGTGGGTGAGTGGGAGGTGCGGTGGTCGGGTGGTTGGGGCTAGGAGCGGGGGCGTGAGGAGGTTGTTTGACTGCAGGTGGTGATTTGGGAGCGGCGGCTGCCGGTGGGTGGTGGTGGTGGTGGTGGTGAGGAGCAGGTGCTGGTACCTGCAGGCTCATAGAAATACGGCCATCATTTTGGTCAAGCGCTGAGATGGAGAAGGGAAGTGAGAGGTAGGTCAATACCAAGATGCAGAAAAAGAAGAAGGATTTGGATTGGGGAACAGCCATAGCCACAGCCATGTTATGGTGATGAACTGAAGTGAGAGAGTGAGAATGGGGGCTGTTGAGTGTTTCAACGGGACTCTTTATGTATTTATAGGACCATTGAACATGTCCCTTTTGTTACTCTATCTCTTCCTACCCTGTTTTCGTTTTCAAATACTCCACTACTCTTTGTTTGTTTTTGTTTTTAGGTCACAAATAAACTTTCATTTTCTATTCTTGGTATTTTAAATTTTGCTAAACTTTCTTTTTGGATGTTTGATAAACTATTCTTTTTGGTAAGTTTTTCGTTTAACAATACTCAATTACCCTTATAGTTTCTACTTTTTGTCTTTTCTTTCAAAAAATTTCATCTTTTGCATTATTTTTCACATTACCCCTACTATTTTACTCTTAAATGTTTTGTCTAAACTTTTTGTACAAAACTTTCAAATACAAAGGGAGTATTTTGAAATGCATTTATGCAAATCTGGTTAGGCTAACCACTAGGGGAGAAGCCAGGAGAGAAGTACCTATAGGGGTAGGGTCCCTACTATTCTAGTCAAGCCTTCTTGACAAGTCGACAAACCACTTTTATTTGAGTTACGCCCAGGTATAATTTTTTGGTGAAAATTTTAAGCTTTCTTCATTAAATGTAGGTTATATAGGTCAAATTTTACCTTAATTTAATTAGGAAGTCAATTAAATAAATCATTTAAAAACAATGTGCCGAAATATAAATAAAATACGCATTGTTTTTAATACTTTACTTAACTAACTTAGAATTGAATTCTAAAGAAAAATTTTGTAGACATAATCTATACTTCATGAAAAACATAATCACAAACTTTCATCAAAACATTCAGCCGTTGTATGGTTTAACTGTGTGGCCATCACTACTAGAAAATGGATCTTTAACGATGAAAAATATGGTCGTTATAAGCTTAAAAGTTTGTCGTTAAAAGATTTAACGACCACTTTTTTTTCGTCGTCAAGTGGTTGTTATAGGTTCCGTCGTTATTAGTTTTTACGACAAAGTTCGTCGTTATTAATTAACGACGACACAAAATGTTATCGTTATATAACAACAACGATATATATTCCCCGTCGTTACATTATAACGGCGAAATAAATTTTCGTTGTCATATAAACACGACCATACATTTAGCCGTTGTTAATGACTTGATGTTAGTACAATTTATTGACATCACTACGTATCCAATATTCCAATAGCGACAATTTAATGCTTGTATAATGACAATGTACGTACCAGTACCACTTAACACTATTTTGTCACTGATAATAATTAATAACTACATAAGTTAAGTACTTGTACATTCAACAACATATATCAAACTTCTAATCTTCAAATAAATTCAACAATCACGTAATTAACAACGTTTCACATATACTTCACATAAATAAAATAATCATCCACATAAATACAATAAAATCCCCATGAACTATACGGAAAAACATAGAATTCAGATTTGCTAAGTAGCATCCAATGTTTATGGGGAAAAACATAAAATGCCTATCAACAGAATAAAATCATCTAATCTATCATAAACTATACAGATCCACATTCCATAGCACTTCCGCAACTTCTCATCTTTAGATACCTACAAAAAAAAGTAGGACTTGGATTGTCTAATAAAATGATAAATATTTAAAAAGAAATAAAATGATTCTTAACAGTTGTCTTTACTAAAACCAGTAAGTCGCAACCAGATCTAAAAACTTATGAGAGAAACAATAACAATGGTAATTTGAGACTTCATACCTTGTGATCCACTCTTAGAAGGAATGAAAACATTAAGTTGTGCTGCCTGTGCACTGTTTAAGTGCACCAAAATCTCTCTCTCAGATGTTTCCACCAACATATCTTGAAAGATGAGCATTTGAGACTTCACAGGATCCTTAAATCTTGTGAAATAAAAATTATATTGGGCAGAAAAAGAGAAATGGAAAGTGTAACCTCAACATTAGAAAGAGACGGATCTTTTCCATTGTCTCACGAATTAAAGCTTTTAAAGATGATGATAGTAGCTGAAGTTGAGAGGGATCTTTTTCATCGTCAAGTGAGGGATCTTTTTCCATTGTTAAAAGCATTTATTGGTCTAAATGCACTCCTAAAAATGTTGTTCCTGCAGTTAGGTTCAACAAAAGATGAAGATATTAGCTGAAGTGCATACATACAAAAACTAAAAAAAACCATTGTTTCTTTGCATAAAGTGCAAAGAAACAGTATATATGCTTTGCTAGATGTTTATCTATCTGCTCATCAGCCTTGTCAAAAAGTAAATGAATTAAATCAATTCTGAAAAAGACAAATGCAAGAAAATGAGACTTCAGTGCTGAGTACAAAAACAACACACTTCTACTCTTAAGCTTGCACCAGATGCCAATATTAATGCATTGCCACCAAAACTCCAAAAAGATATATACATCATTAGTAGATCCATATGACGCATATTCTTATTTGAAATACTATGTATGCTTTAACATATTAAAAAATGAAAGTAAAACTTGTTAGGTATGCATTACTTGGAAAAGAAAGCCTTTCTTGACATCATCAAACTCCCAAATATTTGGGGCTAAGGATTTGGTTGAGGTTGCTTAAACAATTTCTTCGGCTGCACGATCTGATGTCAAGGCATGCATCATAAGCAAGAGCATATGTACATTATTGTCCACTACTTTAAGCCAAAGAATTAGGCAATGCCTAGCTACAAAGAAAGCAAAAACAACTTAAGTAAGTTGCATCCAGAATTCAGAAATCAATAGCATTGAAATGTTATGTTTAATGCAATTAGTTATTGAGTAATGATATTAATTAGATTAACCTAACCATTTCAATGTTTGAGCTCTTTTGTTTTAAAATACTCAAGCTAAAAGTATAAATAGCAGATTCAGTTAATACAAAAGAAATGATATTTAGACCTTTTTTAGAAACTCCATTTTAATTTTAAGTTTTGAACTTCCAATTTAATATATATTTGAACCCAAATCCACCCTTTTTTGCCAGTAAAATCTTGAATCCCAACACAATTGCATTGCAATAAATAACTGAATAAGAGCAAGAGGTTATAAATGCACAAGCGATAGGCAAACGACGATTTCTTAAGGTGATTTTGTAGTAGTGAATGTAAAAATATATACCTTAATACTAAAAGTAATACAACTGAAAGACAAAACTGACAATATGATGTATGTACTAAGATGTGTGAAATAAGTACATTTTATCACCATATAAAACTGATACATGTAAGAGTAATGTAAACTTCTAACGTCAATACTGATTCCGAATGATACATTGCATCCACAAGCTAAGAGAGGAGTGATAGAAATTGGGATCTTTTTCATCAATAATACCTACACCCCCATTCTTTGCCGGTAGACACGGCTTCTGTTGATGCGGCACCCCAAACCTCTAGCTCCCTTTTCACTTCCATCATCGATACTAGAACTATCTCACAGCCGGTGAAGCGCTGTTTTAGCTCTCCATTTAAGAATTTGAGCGTAACTTGGTTTGGAACTTCCTTTTCATCTGGTCGCGCTCTTTTCTTCAAGACCTCTTATCAAACTAAACCTGTCAATAGCAGAGCATTATTACAGTAAGGTGCGAGCAGAATCCCAATGAAGGCAATGGTTTGGACATTTGGCTTGAATGATTTGTAATGATTAGCTTTGCGCCTGCTGTTAGTGTTGAGATTTACACTGGCAAAGGACTACTTGAGAACTTTGGGCTAACAACTCCCTTGCCAACAACTTCCCATGTCGTTACAACATTGGTGGGCGTTCTTACTACAGTTTTCATTTTCCAATTTGGTTCTAAGAGCAGATTACTTGGTTTACATGTGGTATATAGTAAAGTGAAATTCTAATGACAAACTCTTATAGTTAAATTCATTAATCATTATACATTATTAATAACACATAAAATATGAATATGTTAAGCCAAAAATAATAATGAATGGAGTAGGTGTATAATTCATGACTCAATAATATAAACAAAGAATAAATAACAAAAAGTAGACTTCAACCACATCAGAACCATATCTGTTTTTTGGCATTATAAAAAATGCTAATCCAAAATACCTTTTTAACGGGTGCACAAGAAAAATGTTTTTCTCCGACTCCAAAAAAACTTCCCAAATCATCAGCGGGCAGCAGAACATACCTGTAAACGGTGCAAGACGAGACAAGGCTAGAATAGTCTCACTTTCGTATCACGGCACAAACACTTCTCTGTTTCTCTACATCAGGGCATGAGATTTTTCTTATACTTTTCCTCTTCTCTACACTTCTCTCATGTTTCATTTCATACCCAACAAATGGAAAAGTGCAATTTTTCATCCTTTCATTTGTTCCTTGGTCAATCTTCCATATGTCCCAAAAAACAAACAAAGGCCCCTAATGCATCAATTTTTTGATATAATAAGAAGTATGGGTGAAAATGAGAAGCACGTACCAACTGCTTAACTATATCTCCCGGATCCGGAACCTCTGCCTTGCTTTAAAGCAAGGCAGGGTGCCTGGCTCTTCCGGGCCGTTCGATCGGGAATTGGACGGCCGAAGATGTTGGGCTCCACTCCTTTTCCGATCTCGAAGTCGTCCTGGTCGCCTCCCCGTCGTCGGATGCCGCAAGGCACTCTTCCTTATGGCAGAGGATCCTGATCGATATCTCCTTAGATGAAACATTAATTTTAATTACATGCTTCCAGTTGAAAATTTTTGAATAAGCAATTAAAACAATTAGACATGTATAATAAAATATGTCATAAAAACAATTGGAGACATAGAATCAATTATTAAGCTAATCATGGAACATAGATGGTAGATTGGAATCTAACTAGACAGAATGAATTTTACTATCGTATTTCATAGTAATTGAAAAATAAATTTTCACAATAAGTATTTGGAATTTCGAAACTAACTAAGATGTAATTCTTGTTTCATAAATATCTCAAAAATACTACGAAAATAGTGAGAAGATAAGGAAAAAATTCCCGGCCTAATCAAGATAGTTCAAATGACGCATAGCTACGATACGTGATAGAGGAGAGGGAGAAAACATAGGGAGTGTCAGTAGCGCTTGCAGCTTCTGCGAAGGTCCAACGCATCAGGCAGTGGATAGT